ATCTTACGTAGAAGCTTTGAGGCAGGAGAATAAGAAGCTAGGAACATTCCTTGACAAGAGGGATGGGGAAACTGAGACAGCTGAACAAACTGGCCAAGCGATTTACAACCAGCTACAGAAGGTCACCAGGGCAGAAGGCCCCAGGGGCCCAGCAGTTGGTAAAACTGGTGCCAGACGTCGGCCCCCGGTGGCCTTTCCTCCTCTGGCATATCACTGACTATGCGGTTTAGACCCCCTGACCTTTCATATTGCTGGTCACGCAGTTTAGACCCCTTTTCTCCCTAGGGATACCATCTAGGCCTAGGTTGTATTTCAGCTCCAGGCCCAGAAAAGTGGCAAAACCAGGCAGGTGACACCAAGACTTAACTGCAATGACTAATGATCTTCTGCCTTGACACTGACCAATCAGTAGAGACCAGGAGCCTGAAAGGAGACATCTGGAAAAACTGATGAATATTCTAATGAGATCCTCCCTTAAGACCTCCCCTGAACTCCCAGCCTTTAAAATCCTTCAAGCCCCCGCCCCGCCCCCGCCCCAAGGTCTCCCAGCGCCCACTCTTCCTTCTGGGAGCGTACCAGTGCTTTTCCCTTCCCCCTCTTCTTTCCTTGCAGGTGTGCATCTTTTAAACTCTGAGGAAACCCAGGACACTTGCAACTTGGGGAGCCCTGAGCAGTGGGAGCTTGTCCTGGGCTAACCTCCTGAACCTCCCTCTAAGGTCCTCTTTTCTCTGACTTTTCAGTGAGCTGATGGCAACCATGCCTTGGGTCACTTCTTTCCTCTAACTTTTCTACAGTCAAAGCAGCCCTGCCTAGTCTCTTGTCTAGCAAATTAATTGTAAACAGCTCATTCTGGCTTTTGGTAATAGGCTGTGTTTCCAGCCTTCTCTCCAGATAGTCCCACATTAGTATCCTAAAGTTCAGGGAAACTCTGTCCTCAGTTTGCATCCAATGTCAATTCATGCCTGTATTTCTCTGCTCTTACTTATTTGGCTCAAAGCATAAGTGTCCTTTGACTAATTTATTCTCTTCTCTGAACTTCTGAAGCACTTAAGGTATGATATGCTGGAGTTATTTATAAATATCTATTGGCCCTGGCTGGTGTGGCTCAGTGGATTGAGTGCCGGCCTGGGAACCAAAGGGTTGCTGGTTCAATCCCCAGTCAGGCCACTTGCCTGGGTTGCAGGCCAGATCCCTAGTAAAAATATCTATTGATGATCCATTTGTCAGATAAGGAAATTAAGGCATAGGTAAATTAAGCCATTTGCCCAAGAGCACAAGCCTAATAGAAAAGTGGTGCCGATTGCCCTTATGGCTGTTAGGATTTGATGGAGGTCAGATCAGATACAGGAAGAGACCATTTAAGAGGATATTGTAGTCATCTAGATGACCGGGGCCTGAACTAAGTTGGTAATAATGAGAGTGGGAAGAAAGAGATGGCTAGGAAAAATAGATAATAGGAAAGGATTTGGAAGTTGGGTAGGAGGCTGCAGAGGAAAGGATTCAAATTACAATTTTTTTAAATAAGATAGTTGGTCAGGTTAGGCTTCATTGATAAAGTGAAGCCTAAGCTGACCAACTATCTTATTTATATATTTAAATATATATAAGTATAATTTATATATATACTTAAGTATAACTTATATACATATAAATTATACTTCTATAACATAAATTGTACATATATAAAATTATATATAAATTATAGATCTATGTATAATTTTTTCATATATTTAGTCTTAAGTCTCAGTTTGTCCTGATGAAACATTTGGAAATCAGTTAAAAGGGATTTCAGCTGGCAATAACATACAGGCTTTGTACTTTCTCTTGAAAGAGATCTTAGACTAGGCAGTTTTCTTACTGGTAAAATAGACATACTATCTACCTAGTAAGTAAGAGTCAAACAAGAGAGGGACTGTCCTTGCAGAGGCTTAGAAATGTTAGTTTCTCATTCATTCATTCAGTACCTATGGACTGCTTTTTCTTCATACCGTGTCAGCTTTGAGGATGCAGCCAAAGACGAGGACAACATAGTCTTTCTCCCCAATGAGCCTAGAGTTCAGTAAGGGTGCTTGACCATCAGCAGACAGTTATTTAATTAAAACGGTTATAGAGCTCACAGAGTTGAAGCCCAAAGAATTTGAGAGCAGGGGATCCAACTTAATCTTGGGCCCCCCTGAAGAAGGTATCCTTGAGAGTATAACATTTTAGCTGGGTGTTTAAGGACAAATAGATATTCCCCTTCTTTAGTTGTCTTTAATAGCCTAAAGCAAACCAGTAATCAGGACTCCTCAAATCATACTATGTCTTGTCCAAACCTCTTATTTTTTACAGGCAAATGCATTTTTGGAGGGATCAAGTTGGGAACATGCATATGGTGGAAAGAAATGATCTTTGTTCAGGAGGCCTATCTTCTGTTTGCTGATCTGCTCCTTTTCCTTTGTACATAAACAGATTAGCCTTAGGAGGGAATCCCTTTCTTTCCTGTCAAACTAAACGTCTTGGTCAGCTGTCCGGACTGAGTGTTCTCTGGTAGTTGCTTCTGTTATCCTCAGGTCCCCAGTGCCAGACCAGCCCCGACCAGTTTCTTGTAGCCAGTATTCATGTGTTCCTTTGATAGGCTCTTGTTCCCAAGTGTCAGTGATGTTTCTGATGCTCTGAAAAATATTAAAGACTTCTGCCAGACTGACGTACCTCTTTTCTTTCTCTGTTTCCTTGATCTTTTCCTTTGCTAGAGCAGCAAGCTGCTGTAAAATTTATATTTTAATGTCCCGCTTGCTCTTCTTCCTTGGCACTTGCGAGGTGACTGGTGCAGCACTTATGCCTCTGTTCTCAGTCTCAACAAAAAACTGCTCATCAGGGCCTGAAGTGGTGGCAGAAGAGGGACTGTCATGGAGGGCACAGGCCAGCCAGCACCGTTCGGATCAAGGCAAGTCATGGCATGTCGTTGTGTCACTTGCCTCAATAGATAATCCTGTAATGGGTTCATGTATGTTCATTCATTCTTTATCATAACAGGGTCATGACCTCAGTGTGGGAAGGCCAGCACTCAGTGAAATAGGCCTGTAACGATGGGCAAGTCACATCACTGTTCTCAGTCTTTGGGTCCATTTTGTACAATTATTTACAAATTAAAATAATTTATGTTGAGATTAAATAAAGAAATGTGTGTAAAAGGATCTACCATTGTGTTTGTACCTTGGGGCCCACAAATGTTTGTGTCTTAAAAATCTTCCAGACTCAACTGTGGATAAGCTATGTATATATTTCTATCATATTTATGAAATCAGGGTCATAGCGTTTGTCCTTTACTACCTTATTTGACCATGCAAGGCAGAGAATAGTGTGAGGAGAATGCTACCACAAATTTAAACGTTTTTGGCTTTTAAATTTGAACTAAAAGCTTTTATGTAGCTTTTGATGAATTTGTGGTTGTTGTACCAGGGTTTCCATTTTTCCTTTTATTTGTCCCTTCTCTCTGCCACCCCCAGTTTAGAAATATTAGGTATGTTTTGGCTTAGCTTGCATTTGTCAAACTGGTAGAAGAAACAGCATGGGACCAGGAGAACCTTTTTCTCTTTAAGCCCTTCTTAATGTTACTGTGTCCAAAATAAATGTATTCTTGAAATTAATTGCTAGGAACTAACCTTTTAAAGCCCTAAAAGCTGTAACCTTAGGTTTTGTACCAAGAGAGTGGAATTGAAATAAACAACTTTGGTCATTTTAAAATCAGTCAATATTTAGTTACCAGTAAACATGGGGAAAAATATTCAGCCTCATTAATAATAAAAGGAATAGAAAACAAAATAAAATGTTGCCAGACTGTTTCACTAATAATGTTGGTAGTTTCTAAAATGTAGGAGAAAGAGAGGAGGGGGAGAGATGTTGAATTGGGTACTTTGTACAAACAGAGAAGTATAAATATGTTTAACTTGCCCCCCTCTAAAGCAATTTAACAATATTTATCAAGTGCTGTAGAGATGTTAATGCCTTTGACACAGTAATTACACTTCTGGGAGCTTAGCCTAAAGAAATCAGAAGTAGACATAACACAATTATAGTATCAGGAATTGGAAACAACGTACATGTCCAATACAAATGAAGTATGAAATTATATGCAGTGGGCCCTTCTGTTGTTAAGAATGGCAAACTATTTGGGAAAATAATGACAGGGAAACAGTTTGTAAAAATAATTTAAAGTGAAAATAACAAATCAGTACAAACGTAGTATTTTGAAATATACTTTATTTATACACACATGCTATGTGTGTATATGTGTATGTTTGAATGACAAAGCAATATATCAGAATAAAACATCTCTGGGTGATGGGAATGTGGTCATTTTTATTTTCTTCTTTGGACTTTTCTTCATTCTCCCAATTGCTATGTTTAAAACCTAAAGAAAATGTATTCATTTTAAAATACCTACTTTAGCCCTGGCTGGTGTGGCTCAGTGGATTGAGCGCTGGCCTGTGAACCAAAGGGTCACTCGTTTGATTCCCAGTCAGGGCCCATGCCTGGGTTGCGGGCCAGGTCCTCAGCTGGGGGCGCATGAGAGGCCACCACACATTGATGTTGCTCTCCCTCTCTTTCTCCCTCCCTTCTCCTCTGTCTAAAAATAAATAAATAAAATCTTTAAAAAAAACCTGCTTTAGAATCCTTTGGACTGATACAATCATATGAAAACATAAGGGAAAAAAACCTGATGGGAATTTTGACAGAATGCCATCAGGAATATTTGATAGGGTGATGGGACTTCGTGCTTGTTGTTGCTTTTACTATTTTCTTTAATGTGGTTCTATTATGAAACACATTGTCTTCTAGTAGGAAAGTAAATATAAAATAAATGTAGAAAAGTACTGTAGAAATTAACGTCACATTTGAATAGAGGTGATGATTTTCAGATATTCTCTTATGAGTGTGGTCCATCTCGAGGATGATGAAAACTGGTAACAATGGTGGTAAATGATAGCTCTTTTTTTTTTTTTTTTTAACTCCCACAGATATTCCTGAAATTCCAGAAAGCATCTCATTCTGTAAAGCACTACAGATAGCTGACTTCAGCGGAAACCCACTGACTAGGTAAACTCTGTTCGCTTTTCTGTCTGTAGTACTGAGGATATCTTTTCTGAGAACCAAGCAAAGAACACAACCAGCTTGTCCATCTTGCTGCAGGTACCTAGACGTGTTACTGTCTTTATCAAGGATGATTGACCTTCACAGATATTTACTTATAAATAGGACTCTCCAGTGAAAGGCACATTGTGCTGTTGATGGAACACTGAAAGGATGCTGGAGGATTAGGAGAGGCACACTGGAGTGTACAAGACAAAAGTGAGGGGTGCATTTCTGAAGCAATATGAAGAATTGGAGTAGTTTACGAATCTTCTTTTGATCCCTCTTGTCTGTGGGGTGAGGCTGCCACAGAGCTTACGCCATAGGTATCCAAGGTGAAGGCCTGTTAGAGATATTATGTCCACTCCAGGAATGAAACATATTTAGTGTCTCATCTTTTCTTTAAGTCATTTTTTTTTTAAAGATAGAGAAGAAAACAACTCTATTGACACCATTATTTTCATCCTTGAGCAATAGCTATGAAGCTTTCTTTTGGTTTATTCCTCCAAACAAAGCCATCTGTCACGCTTTTACTGCCGAGTCCACCTTTGTGCACCCTGGATACAGCTCAGTGGTGTTATCTAGTAAGCCCTTCCTTGTGGCTCCCAGCTCAGTCATGAGCCCTCTGACCACTGGCTTCCAAGCACCTGTGTTCCCATGCAGCTGTACGTAGCCGGCCCTAGAGAGTCTGTTTCAGAGGTTTCTCTGGGCCAGGTGGGTCTAAGATTTTAAGACTCTGTAAGCAACCTCAGGAGAAAGGTTCCCTTCCCCTTAACCCTACCCCTCCCCTTTTTTCCTCCTCTTCCCCCTCCTTTCCCTTCCCCCCTCTGTCTCTTTTTTAAAGGATATAGGAATATCAAGATTTCAAGATTAAATTAAAATTTAGGATTTGTCTCACCCATTTCAAAATTGCTTGGCACTTTTGGGGTGTGGAGTGTTGGGGAATATCTTGCTTAATTTTGTTTTTTTCCATATGTGTTTATTTTCAAGAAGTAAATATGTTTTTAAAACTACTTCTGGCTTTCTCCTTTTGAATTCGGTGATTAAGTTACTAATAGCATTTATTTATTTATGAATAATAGTTATCTAGTAAGCTCTAACCTAATAGCTTTCTACTCATCACTGTCCCCAAGTCTTGTCCTCTTCCTTAATCATCTTCCATGCAGTTGTTCTTCTTCAAACATTTCAGTGCCTTCTGCTCCTGTAACATAAAGTCCGAGCTCCTCCTCAACGTGCCGCGCGGTCTCCCCCACTGCTGATCTGACCTTGATCTGTCTGTCCTTCCTCATTGCCCTCAGTTGCCTGTGGCAGACATCGCACTCTGCTCTAATAAAGTGCTCATAGGTCATTCATTTCACACTTCGTTTTGATGATGCCAACCTTTTCACCCTTGTTAAGGTACAGCTTGAGCATCTCATGTCTTAATTAATCCATGGTCCCCTCCTCTGGTCTTCCACAGTCTTCTGTGCATACTTATTTCATACACTTGAAATTTACATTAAATTTCTTTCTTTGACCAAGATTCCTGGACTAGACTGAGAAAGCTTAACTTGTAGCCCTCTATTATTTGTGGATGTATTTCCAGCCCTACTATAATTTCTGGAATGGAGTAAGCATTCAGTAAATGTTTCTTGAACTCAACTAAGTTATTTATCCTTAAGGCAGTTAGTAGAGTTAGGCAGCTGGGAAATATTCATTGTGCTGCCCTTGAGTTTTTCTAAACCATTCCATTGCTTAATCCCCTTTTCTAAATCTTTAGCTGTCCTTTTCTAACATCTGCTGACAAAAGACTTTACCATTTTCTTAAAACTCTCTCTTCTAGAATATACCCACATTGTATAAGGATTTACTGGGTTTTACCTTGGCCTCCTATTTGGCAGGTTTCTTAAAGTAAAGCCCTTTTAATTTGGCAGGTGTGCTGTTTTAAGAATTAAGCCGATATTTGCAAGTTGAAAAGATTTTAAAAATTACTTAGCTTGGCATACTTATCTTATGGCTGAAGAAACTGAGGCTGAAATGATTTAAATGACCTTTTGAGATCATGAAACCTCTGAATGGCATCTCAGACTGGAATTCCGTTCTCCTGACCTTTTTTAAGTTTGCTTCCTCAATACATCATGCTAGTTTGGCCCCTACTGTTCACAGCTAGGAAAAAGCATATCATCTATTTAAAAATATGCTTTTCTTATATTTTGGGTCATTTAAACTTTTTAAAATTATAAAATGAGATATACTTTCTAATAAAAACTCAGATAAAAAAGATAAATTGTGTCATTTTAATTGAACTAGATAACATTTTTAAATAGAAAATGTTATTGCTATTCTACTATGGAAGAGGATTCAACTTTGTAAGAGCCATTACTACGACTGTAGTTCAGTGATTATGAAAGTTCAGTTAAAACTTTCATCTTGCAAGGCCTGGGTTTGGTTTTGAAGTTTGGAATTATCTAAATTAAATGTCAAACAGTAACTTGGTATTTGTTTTTCATAAAAGGAAGCTGGAAGGAGGGGAAAAAAATGGAAGATTCTAATCTAGATGCTATCACTGAAGCAAGAGATTCTCCCCTTGTCTCCCGCCACCATAAGTGATGTGTTCTGCTGTCTACGTTAGATTTATGTATAAGGACCTTCAGCATTTTAGATACAATGAGATCTTTTTGCCTTCAGTTACTTTTTTCCCCCCCTTCCTAAATTTTGGTAACCATAGAAGTATTGAAAGTAAACTTTCTTTGTAAGTTTATAAATAATTTATTTTGAAACCTTGCTACTCGGTAGATTTTAAGAGAAGTATGAAAAAGTTCTTTTGTGTAGAACATAATGAAACATATAATTACCTCAAGTGAATGACATCTTAAGTCAAATTAAAAGAAAAATATTAAGAAAGTAGCATTTGGCTCTCAGCTGATCATTTCTAAGTAATTCATGGCTTTGCTCTGGATATTATAAGCTACATGAAAAAAAACATTGAGCAGCTGTCATGTGTCCTGTTGTAATTGTGTGGGCTAAAATTTCTCTTTATTTCCTGCTAATCAATAGTCTTTTCACTTGTAGCTGCAGTGACTATCATTTTCTTTCACAGAGCATTCAATAGTTGTACACTTTCCCCCTTTATTCTTAAAACTTGCCTATTTTTCCTCCTTAATTATTTCTGGATCACCCTATCAGCAGGTATTCATCATGCCTATCTACTTGTTTTTTTTTCCCCTTATAAGTGTCTTACATATAGAAGATGAGGCAAGTGCGCTAAACATAATGTAATGTAATTTTTAGGAGGTTATTTCAATTAGCATGTAGAAGAAGTCATTATAATTATGTTTAGTATATACTATGTATTTTATTTTTCAGTTAACAAGAGTTTTTGTTTGTTTTAGATTACCAGAAAGCTTTCCTGAACTACAGAACTTGACATGTCTTTCTGTAAATGACATCTCGTTGCAGTCCCTACCTGAAAATATTGGCAAGTAAGTTTTTATGTGAAGTTTGTGTGTATCAGGACAAAAGGGTGCCTGTATCATCCATTACACTCTCCTTCCCTTTTAAACTCTTATTTTACTACTCAGAAAGCCATTTATTCAGTGTTCACTATCACCCTTAAAAAAAAGACAATAGCCAGCCAGCCTCCTGTGTTTTTACAACCAATGGCCCCTAAATTTTAATGGTTAAAAAAGGATGCTGCTAGTTGTTACTAGTGAAAACCCTAATTTGTTTGGAAGCTCTCTTTACATTGATGGATTCAAAAGTATTTAAGCAAAGTACCACGTGTTATATAGGTGGTGAGTAAATACTGTTAGAAACTACCACTCTGGGTGGTTTTAAGCCATGTTAGGGAAGGGTGCCAATTGAAGGACTCCACTGAAAACTTCGGGAACATGCCCCTAAACAACAACTGTGTCTGCTGTGTTTGTGTGCTGTAGACCTGAGGATAGGGAGTGTGAACGGTGTGTTTGGAGAGTGGGCATGGAATTGGGAGAGGGATGGAATGCAGTGGGCACATTCCCACGGTGCTGGCTTAGAGGTCAGGGAGGACACAGCCACAGCAAGAAATAAAACCTTTTGAGGAAAATATATATGCTGCTGAATAAATGTTCTGTATTTCCAGAGATGAATTAATTGAAGTATCTTAGCAGATCTTTTCCGTGCCTCTAGCATATACAGTGGGTTGAATCACGCTGGTGGCTCATGCTCAACCGCTTAAAATAAAAGCCCAGTATGGCTGGCCTGACCTGGTGGACCTATGCTCCCTACTGCCATGAAGGCTTTCCTTTGTATTTACCTGTCCTGCATAAATTCTAAGACAAAACAGAAGCTTGGTTTTTGAGGACTACAATGTATCTGACATGTGTGTTCTGCGAAGTTTCTCTTTCTAGAGGTGTACAGGAGTTCTTAACAGGCACCTTTGCCCCCTCCTTTCCCTTCTGTGCAGGCAGAAGACACCTGGTTAACCGTGTTTCAGCCAGCATGTCCCTGTTTTCCTGGGGTGCACACTGATGCCTTATCATAGGATGGTAGTCATGCTGATGAAACATTGTGCTCTTCAGCTCTCAGGAGGGGAAGGAGATAAGAAGGCCCAAGCACTCCTCAGTTTATGGTATCAGCTGCAGAGGAAGCAACAGTGTTCTATTGTGGATGTCATGCACTTACACTTTACTTTTGCTGTGTTGGGTTTCATATATTTCCAATTAATATACGAGGGGGACCCTCCAGAAAACAGAGTTATCTTCTGGAGGGCAGGAAGATAGGACAGGCTTCCCCTGCTAGGTTAGTGTTGTAGGAACCCATCTGTATCAGTGTACCAGTTGGCATTGTTGTGAGAGGCTGCGTTCAGCCTCAGTGAAAAAAAAAAATTTTTTTTTTTTGAAGACTCTGTCAACACGCTTTGCCCATTTGATGATGGGTGATTTACTAGTGCACCTGGCCCACCCTCCGTATTCACCCAATCTCAGTCTTGCCCTGAGCGATTTTTTTTTGTTCGTTTGTTTCCCCAATGAAAAAAGTCCTCAAAGAGAGATGTTTTGCCAATGTGTAAGAGGTGAAACAAAAAATGGCAGAAGCACTAAACGGCATCAAAATTGATGAGTTCAGAAACAGTTTTGAGCAGTGGGAAAAAAAATCTCAATATTTGTATTGCATCAAATGGAGAGTACTTTGAAGGTGGCTGAACTGAAAAGATGTAAGAATAAATACACAATTTTTTATAAATAAATTCCGGGGTTCTTTTTAGGTCCCCCCTCATACAGGGTGGGCCAAAGGTAGTCTTGAAATGAAGGTTTTTGTATACATTTTAACCCTGCTTACTTGGTCAAGTGAGTCAGCCACCTCAGTTCTTTTGAGCATCAGTAAAAGGAGGACTTCTGTTTCTCTTTTTGCCACCTAGCAGAGTACGTGGCATTTACCAGGAAAGTATGGATTTCTAAGGGATGTGGGCCCCCTCAGGATGGGCAAGAGTGCAGCCTAAAGAAGAGAGCCACACCTTTAATGTAGGACAGACAGACCTGCAGCCCCTGGAAGCTGGGGTGCCTGCAAGCGTATGTCCCATCATGCGTTTGATTTGCCCACGTTTAATCTGAAGAGTGCTCGATGGCAGAGTTGGAGCTGGAGTATGGCTCTCCTGCTTCCAGTCCCGTGTTTTTCCACCACTTCACCTTATACCACCGTAGGACAGTTGGTTCCCAGGGCCCTTTGGGGGTCAGTGACTTTTTCTTACTGCTCCGACCAATACCTAGTAGTTCCATTTATTAAGTAATTAGGCCCAAACAGCTTGAGAAGTATTTTTGTCCTAACAACCTAGTGGCTGTTTTTGAAAAAGTAATACACACAAATTGAAAGAATGTTTTTATTTCATTCTTACATACCCCCAATTATTCACTATGGGATGTGGGTACCAGTTGGGCACTGCTCAGTGTCTCAAACTATAACTCATTTCCTTTTCTGCATGGATTTCCCCCCGGTACCTGCCTTTTATCACAGCAATTGCTGAAAACCCAGCTTGTAAAGATAGGGTGTCCTTGAAAGGAATGTAGTGCTTATCCAATGTGAACCTGAACTACCTCAGCTAGTTAGTTCCCATGATATTGGACAGACCTTGAGTGTGCTGTGTCTCTCTCAAATGTAAAATTTTCTGCAGGGCTCTGGTCAGCTTCTGCAGCTTCCTTGGACGCATTAGTGCACGGTAGCCATACCTGTTGCTACCATGAGTGCACTGCTGTGAATAGCATCACAGTGTCAGTTGGTGTATGGGAAGAAACCGGGCAACACTGGTTGCTCTGCTTTCATTCCACGGCAAAGCATTGTGTTCACATCCTGTACCACATGGCTACATGACAGGTAATCATTAGTATGGTTACTTTGATAAAGCAAATTTTTCAAATAGTAGAATCTCTGTAATACTTTGTAATGACACAAGGATTGATCATGAAAACCTTTTGAACCACACAGAGGTATGTATACTGGCTACCTTATGCAAAATCACACAGTTTTCTTTGGCTAAGATAAGTGTCCCAAATTTACTAACCTTTTTTTTTTTTTTTTTTTTTTTTTTTTTTGTGATGGCGCTTTAACACCTTACTCTGTCCTTCAAAGTAAAGGTGATATTTAACATTGAGTGAGAAACATTCACCTTCAACGGACTTAAAAATCATTTTAAATATTTTATTTATTTATTTTTAAAGAGAGGAGAAGAGAGGGAGAGAAACATCAATGTGAGAGGGAAACATCTGTTGGTTGCCTCTTGTACATGGCCCAACCTGGGAACCAAATCTGCAACCTAGGCACGTGCCCTGACTGAGAATCAAACCAGCAACTTTTTGGTTTACAGGATGATGCACAAACAGCTGAGCCACACTGGTCAGGGCTATTTTTAAACTAAATAAAAGGAGTTTGAAGGTATAGTCTTAAATGCATAGGGACCACCATTCTAGAATAGAATGTTTGGAGTCAGTTAAGTTCCCAACCCGAGGTTCTCATACTCTGCCTTCTTGGGCCCCAGGGATTCCATTGAAGTCCCTCCAGGGCATTGTGGAGAGTGAGAACCAGTCCTCCGGTAGGTGGTCCCTGCTGATTCCTGTTTGCTTCAATATAGCTCTGTTATTAGCTTAATTTTTTTTTTTTTTTTTTTTTGGTACTGGTGTTGCATACAATACTTGCTTTAAATAAGTCTGTTGCAAATATTTTTCAAGTTAAATTTTAAGACCGCCATTTCAGACACTTCATAGTACTGGGTTGCGCAAAAAGTCTGTTACGTTTTTTCTCTCTGATGGCTCTAATAGTGCTTAGTTGTCTTTAACTTCATTCAAAACAATTTTGATAGATTGTATTTTGACAGCTGTTGTACCAGCATGCATTAAAAAAAATAAAAACTTGATTAAAATTGGTGAAATTTTGTGCTGCCATTTCAATACTGAAGATGGGAGAAAATACACGGCATGTTTGGCATATTATGCTTTATTATTTCAAGGAACATAAAAACTCAACTGAAATGCAAAAAAGATTTGTGTAGTATATGGAGAAGGTGCTGAGACTCAGTGAACTTCTCAAAAGTGGTTTGCAAAGCCTCTTGGTACTATTGACATTTTGGCCAAATAATTCTTTACTCTGGGGCTGTCTTATGCATGAAGATGCTTAGCAACACCCTTGGCTTCTACCCACTAGAAGCCAATAGTGGGAGATAGGAGATAGACAACATACTCAGAATATCCAAATAAAATTTTTGGTGAAAATGAAAAATGTGTCTTATTTTATGGAAAAAAAAGTAACAGGCTTTTTGGTCAGCCCAATACTTGTTTATTGTAGTAGATGCATTATGGTGTTTTTAAAGCTCTGCTCAAACTCAGCAGAAAGCTTCAGAGCCTTTCATGGAAATGATTTTAAAATTTTTTTACCTGCCTTCTCTTTTCAAACTGACAGATTGTTTTCTTTCTTAATGATCGAAAAGTCTACCTCTTTTGTCAGTCCTTCTCCAGTGATTAGGAGAGGTGAAATAGATCGCAAATTCACAGGTTTCCTGACCATACCCTTTACTTCCCACATAATAAGCACCTTAGTCCTTTGTACACAGAAGTCTCGTTGTTCAGTGCTTGTGCGTATGTATAATTAGTGCCTGCACCTGGATCACCTTGTACCCTGAAACAGTGGGGGTCTCAGTTGTCAAACTCCCTTTGTGTTTGTACTGAACCTGGTGTTGCTCTGACATACTGAACAAATATGTATGACAAAGCACACAGTGTTACCTCCTACACCCTGCTATCTTCTAACCTGCCATCATAGGTAATCCAGTTAGCTCTGGAAGCTTTGTGCGAGGACCACATTAGCCTGTTCCTGCAGTCACTTTTCTGTGTTAAGGCTGTACACTTAGTTTGTGTAAAAAGTTCATATAAAGAAACAACCATGAAATAAAACTGTTTTCGTTTGCTGTAAAACCTTCTAAATATATAATTACTGTCTGTTAATATTGGTTAATTTCCCC